TTTTATATAAATAAATAGAAAAAAGGTTTTTATATACAAATTGTCGCCCCTGAATAATTAATCATTTGGTGTTAAATCGTTGATATTCATACATATAAAAATAGAATGTACACATATACATATTGGATATATTAAAGTAAATAAATTGGTAATTGTAAATCGGTTGGTTGAATGATATGTACATACAAAAAATTAGAGAAAAGAAAATAAATGAAATACTGGTTCTTAAGTTCCAAATTCATTTACTAAAATGCTAAAATTGCTTCCCTACGCAGTTGCTTCAAGAGGCGAAAAAATCCATCTTATTTAATCCATTAAAAATGACTTTCCTACTAGTAAATTCCCCCCGCAATATACACTATTCCTTTTTTTTTATTAGTATTTATGAATAACAATCAACAGTTCCTTTTAATAATACGTGATTTTAAACTATAACGTATCTATTTGTTGCAAAAAGATTGTGACTCGTTCACAGAAATGAAATGTATATAACTTATAAAAGAATGAGAAATTACTTACAGAAAGTGTTGCATATTATAATCCCTTAATAAAATTGAACAGAAATGAGATACTTAACAAATACGTTCGTTCACATCAAAGTTATTTTATTAACGATTTATTTATTGGCATCATACAATAGGTTTATGTTTAATGATTAAGAATAATTTTTCTTTTTAACAAGGTAAAACCAGATAGGAGTTATTTGACGAAACAAAGAGTTGATAAAACAGAAAAACGAAAATGAAATGTTATCTACAATACTTATTAAATATCCACAAACAAGTCTGAATGATCAGTTACAAATGTATTAAGTACAAAAAGGAAAACAAGAATATATCAAATTTAAAACCAATAAGTCGTTATTTTATGAAACAAAATCCATAACACTAATCGGAAAGTTCGTTGGCAAAAGAATATACATAAAAAAGAAACAAGGCAGTAAGTAGGGCAGTTTCTTGATGAAACTAAAACCACAAAACTAGTCGGATAAGTCGCTTGTAAAAGTAAAAAAAAAAAAAGGAAAACAAGACTTTACTAACTTTAAAACTAAAGGGTAGTTACTTATGTGAAACAAAATCAACAACACTAATCAGAACGATTTATTGCAAGAGTAGAAAGTATTGAAAAGTTCACTTATTTAACCTTTTATAACTAAAACACCAATTTCTTCTACATATGTGCAAATAAACTTTGTTTTCAAAACATTGCAGCAAGAGATTAGTATGTAGCGGTTTTAAATTAAATAAATTACATTTTAAGATATTGTTTCTAATTGTTACTATAGCGTCAGGCATCAAAATCTTAAAACCAATCAAAATATCCTCTGCCTAATTAGGTAAAAAACGTTCAAATTCACGATTAAAATTTTAGTGACCTCGCCCCTCAGTAAACGTTTCTAAGATTGATAAAAAGTGGATCTCCTTATTAACAAGGTAAATAGGTAGTTATTTAAGTCAATATAATACATTTAACTCTTGAAATATCCACCCCAATAAATATTTCTTTTTAAAACGTATTTACGAAAATGGTTTACTGTTGTAATAAAAATAGTTTTGTGGCATATCCTCGACCATTAATGTATTGATACTAAAATAGATCGAACAACTAGCTGATTGGTAGAAGTAAACACATAATTTTGCTGTGTTGTATCTGTTTGAACGTACTTTTGTGTTTTGTTGTATAACGCATTATTTTCTTTAGTTGTTGGTAAAAGAGCACCTATCGGATTGTTACGTTTAATGGTGTTAATTCTTGCGAATGCTACATTCTCATATTTGAAAAATTTCTGTAATGTTCATGTAATGTTCTTTACAAACACAGGCAAAATACATTACTTACGCTTTCATGATGCTTCCTTATACCAAAATAATTAAACTAATTGGTGGCGCCTTCTGCAATCTGATATTTGAAACTGAACTGAAATGCCCGAAGTAGAAAATCTTCTGTCGCAATAAGTAAGAAAAAGACAGAAAAATTATTGATTAAAATTAGCGTTCGGTATATATCTAGATCCTTAAAATAAAATGCATTAACATAAAAGTTAATATAACCATTAATTGATAATCGATAATATTATAATATTATGAGATATATGTAACTTTCTTACAACTACCTAAGCTTATTAATGAACAAAAAAGGTTTCTTTTTTAATTTAAATTCAAAACGGTGAGCAATATTCCTTGTCAAAATCGGTAAAAAGAAAATGTAAACCACATAAGTTCCTTCAAATATCCAAAGAGAAGCTAATCTATACTCCCTTCCTAATCTTAATTAATACCAAACAGAAATTAAAAAGCGAAAATGTAAGTTTAATGTACTTTTACATGTGTGCCTGTTGTAACGCATTATTTTCGTTAATTGTAAGTAAAATAGAAGATATTTGATTGCTTTTATTTCACCCATGAATAACGATTTCACTGACGGTTTTTTTGGTGTAATTTATTAGTGTTTTGGAATTGCTTGGATTGCACTTATTGCTTACCACTGTAAATTGTTAATCGAATGTCGTATCAGATTAATCCCTCACGTATTAAATCTGGCTATAGATGGGACAACAGCTTTTTTTTAAATATATATATACATACAGTAAATATTTGATATCACGAGCTTTATTAATATTGCATGTGTTTCAACTAAATGTTACAATATATATATATGTATGGAAACGCTATTTCTTATCAAAATGCTATTGACGAGATGCTTTTGTTTATTTTGTATGGGTACTACGATAAATTAACTAAATAGAATTTTTGTTTCACGTTAAATTATAGATATTAATATTGTCTTTGACTCCTCATTGCTTGCTTGATGCTGCTTCTGGCAATTCATTGAAATGAAATTATATATTGAAACCAAAGTTAATTAACTAATCGAAAATTTGGTCCCAATCGTAAAACAATTAAACTACCAATAAATGATTTTGATAACTATAAGAATTCCCACTGAAAAATTGTAATAAATGCGTATATAATTAAATGAAAATATATTTATTAATTAGTAATTTCATTAGCAGAAAATATAGAATAATATGCGTTTGTTTTACAACTTCGTAACATACATCTAGCGATAGTAATAGTAATTAATTTCTGTCTTTTGAAAAATTAATTGTACCTACTTATCTTACTCAAATAAAGAATCACAAGGTCGAATCGTTTTACATGTTTTCTTATAAGAAATAACTCTACAAAGTAAGACAATTATAAAATCGTTCCTCATTTATGATTGATAATGTAAAATAATATTAAAATTTGAAAAGGTAAAACAATTTTCACTTAAAACCCTATTAGAAATGATAAAATTAATAACTACACATTTGTGTATATATATATCAATATTTTATAAAATTGTCAGTTGATACATGGGTATGTAATTTGAAATCCTTCTGTTATATATTGTGTTCTTTGAATTGACGTGTTATATAAATGTTGAAAAACGGATTATTTAGAAAAAAACTGGACTTTTCCAATTTCCTTTGATATAAAGTACGTGTTATGGTTTTTTTGGTTATTTATAAGAATATGAAACAGCCATTTAATTGTTGAAAGGGTATCTAACAGAAAATAGTTATTGAAATATAGGTAGACCTACTTATTAGTGGTATATGCATCTATATATATGTAGGGATAATCTTGATGATAAAATATGAAGGTCGTTTACAAAGAAAAGGTGGTATAAAATCAAACTTATTTTCATTATGGAGTCTTCCAATATTACTTAAAATAATCCATGAAATAAAATAACTCCCCCCTAAATAATTAAGTAGTAGGTACACTCAAATAGGATTCTTAAAGTAAGGTATCGAAGATATTTAAGAGTGTTTAATATAAACCCCACAAATATTTACTAAAAGGTTTCTAATTGTAAAAAGGTATAAGTTGAAAGTGGAGGTGGGTGGGACAATAAAAAATAAACAAACAGGTATAACAAATTTTAAACAAGACTACGGTAAATGAATGCGCTAAATATTGTTTACATGAGAGTAAGACGGTAAAATGATAATATGGACAGTGAATGTACCCACTATAATTAAAATGTTAACAGAACTGTGAATTGTTAGGTAGGAATATACTATACATCGACTTATGAAAGTGTTGAAATATAAGGTAATTTTTTATGGTGGTTAATTAACAGTGTGTCATAATTTGACCAAATACCGCAGTCATTGTAATACAAAAAGTAATCCCTTTGGTAGAAATCGAACACCTAAATACGAACAGTAGAACAAAAAGCGAAAAATTAACGTTTTCTGTAATTGAACGCATGAATGGTAGTTATTTATAATTGTAATAGGTATGTAAAAATAAAAGAAAAAAGTAATTGCGTTTTGGTAAAAATTTAACCCCCATAAAGAACAAGGAAATACAGCAGCAGCGTTCATAGCAACATATATTCTACTATAATGGACATGAGATTGTAAAAGAAAGGAAAATGAAAAAGGTAAAAGAAATATTTGAATAGGATAATGAAATTAATATATACTGTTTATGGTAAAAATTTAATCTATAAAAAACGATAAAAAAAAATATATTTAGGAGAACGTAAAGAAGAGACTTCGGGAAATGAAAATCCATTTAATGTACAAAAAGGTGGAAAGTTAGCGTTTTTGATAAAGATTGAACAGACTTACATGAAAAAATGTCTATGGACAAATTTGAACTGAAGTAAAACAATGTTTGGTAGTTTTTTATGCAACTCAGGGGTAAAAGAAAAGGAAACGTTTACGACAAGGAAATAGGCAAAAGAAACACTAGCCTTGGACAAATAAATCAATAGTTATTATAGTAAAGGTCTAATAAACATGAGAAGGTAAAAGAAAAGCAGATATTTACAGAAACGTAAAGAAGAGACTTTGGGAAATGAAAACCCAGTTCAAGTATAAAAAGGTAGAAAGGTAGTATCGTATCTAAGGCAAAAATTGAATTCACTTATAAGGAAAAAATGTCCACGAAAAATTTTGAACAAAAGTAAAACAATGTTTGGTAATTATCTAATAGAAATGCGAGGGCAAAAGAAAAGGAAACGTTTACTACAACAAAATATGTAAAAGAAATATTGCCATAGGGAAAAGAAAATAATATAGTGTTTATAGTAAAAGTCTAATAAATATAAAAGGGTAAATGAAACGGAGATATTCACGAAAACGTAAAGAAGAGACTTTGGTAAATGAAAACCCACTTAAGGTACAAAAACGTAAAAAGGTAGCGTCTTTGGTAATAATTGAACACAGTTACATGAAAAGACAAGAAAATGTCTACGGAAAAAGATGAACAGAAGTAAGACAATGTTTGGTAGCGATTTAATAAAAATGAGAGGGTGAAATAAAAGAAATAGATAAAAGAAACACTGGTAGATATAGGGCAAAGAAATTAATAGTTTTATGGTAAAGGTCTAATAAATATGAAGGGGTAAATAAAACGAAGATATTTACGAAAAGGTAAAGAAAAAACTTTAGATACTAAAAAACCCACTTAAGGTACAAAAAGGTAGAAAGGTAGCGTCTTTGGTAATCAATGAACACACTTACATGAAAAGACAAGAAAATGTCTACGGAAAAAGATGAACAGAAGTAAGACAATGTTTGGTAGCGATTTAATAAAAATGAGAGGGTGAAATAAAAGAAATAGTTAAAAGAAACACTGGCATAGGGCAAAGAAATTAATAGTTTTATGGTAAAGGTCTTATAAATATGAAGGGGTAAATAAAACGAAGATATTTACGAAAAGGTAAAGAAAAAACTTTAGATACTAAAAAACCCACTTAAGGTACAAAAAGGTAGAAAGGTAGCGCCTTTGGTAATAATTGAACACACTTACATGAAAAGACAAGAAAATGTCTACGGAAAAAGTTAAACAGAAGCAAGACAATGTTTGGTAGCGATTTAATAAAAACTAAAGGGTGAAAGAAAAGAAATAGGTAATAGAAACACTGGTACATATAGGGCAAAGAAATTAATAGTAATTATGGTACAGGTCTAATGAATATGAAAGGGTAAATAAAATGGAGATATTCACGAAAACGTAGATAAAAGACTTTGGAAAATGAAAACCCACTTAAGGTACAAAAACGTAGAAAGGTAGCGTCTTTGGTGATAATTGAACAGACTACATGAAAAGATAAGAAAATGTCAACGGAAAAAGTTAAACAGACGCAAGACAATGTTCGGTAGCGATTTAAAAAAAAAATGAGAGGGTGAAAGAAAAGAAATAGGTAAAGGAACACTGGCATAGGACAAAGAAATTAATAGTGTTTATGGTAAAGGTCGAATGAACATGAAAGGGTAATTGAAACGGAGATATTCACGAAAACGTTAAAGAAGAGACTTTGGAAAATGAAAACTCGCTTAGGTATAAAAAGGTAGAAAGGTAGTATTTTCGGCAAAAATTGAATTCACTTATAGGTATGTATGAAAGGATAAAAAATGTCTACAAAAAAATTTTGAATAAAAGTAAAACAATGTTTGGTAATTATCTCATAGAAATGAGAGCGCAAACGAAAAGCAAATGTTTACTACAAGAAAATAGGTAAAAGAAATATTGTCATAGGGCAAAGAAAATAATATAGTGTTTATGTCAAAAGTCTAATAAATATGAGAAGGTAAATGAAGAGAGAGGATATATTGATGAACACGTAAAGAGATTGGGAAATGAAGACTCACTTGGGTACAAAAAGGTAGAAAGATTTTTGGTAATAATTGAACAGACTTGCTAAAAAGATAAGAAAACGTATGCAGAAAGAAGTTGGTATATGGTAAAGGTCTAACAAATATGACAGGGCAAAAGAATAGGAAAAATTTACGAAAAGTCACGTCTTTGGTACAAAATTGAACAGACTAATGAAAAAGGCTAATAAAAGATGCCGCAAATGCACTTGCATAATATGGCAAAATTTATGAAATGTAGAAGGAGTTATTGAATGAATATCTAGGACAGCTACAAATGAAACAGAAACGTTACATCTTTGGTATTAATTAAATAAAATTATACGAAACGATTAAAATGTATATATATATTCAATAATTAAATAAGAGTAAAACAACGTTTGGTAGTGATTTAATAGAAAATAGGGAGTAAGATATAAGGAAATGGTAACGTTATTCTACTAAAGAGAAATATTACATAATATCTAACTCTCAAAATGAGTCGGTTGTATAAGACAAAAAACCTAATAAGGTTGGTAAAAATTTGACAAATAATAAAGAAAATATTTACGAATATTAAAACAAAAAGCACTTTCCGGTAATTGAATACCCAATAAAGATACAACCAAAATAGAATAGTAGCGACTTCGGCGAAAATTGAACGGACTTGCCTAAAAGGAAGGAAATGTAGGATAATCAAAATAATAAGCGGGGTTAACCCATTTCTCCAGTATATGCTTTATAAATTGAATGGTTTTAACATATGTGTCCTGTTTTAAAGAATATATTTAATGAAACTATTTGAAGTTTTGGTGGAATTATTTTAAAATACCATGCAGTTAACCTCTGTATTATCGATTTCGTCTTTACTTATGTAACTTAAAAATTTCCGGGAAAAAGCCCACAATCGAATGTTTTTTTGTTTAATGCCTACAGTTTTATATATCTGAAGAGTTGATAGTTATTGTTACATTTAAAATGTTGAGGGATATAATAGAAAATATTTATTGTAAAAATTTAACAGATATTGGAGAGTAAAAGTAACAGTAGCCGTTTTGGTGAAATATGAGCAATGACGAGGATTCAAAAAGGGAAGTGTCTGTGAATGAATTACTGAATATCTACGAAGAGTTAGTGAACAAAAATTTGCATCTTAAACAATAAAAATTGCTTTTGGTAAAAATCAATCCAATAATCAATATATAAGAAACGTTTACACCTGTTTTGATATAATTAATGTGAAATCAATTTGATTTTTTTTGTATGTTATTAACGTTTAACCCCTTACGAATCTTTCAAACGAGCTTACTTAACATAAAACAAAATTAACATTTTGATTGGATGTGCCGTTTGTTACGTACTTATTACTAATGTTCTAAATATTGTTTTAAGTTCATGCTCCACGAAGTTAAATTTCTGTTTGTTGGGAGTATTCCCCTTTTTCGGATTATTTTACAAATTATACAATAAAATGTTAAATGGTAGCAGCTGACTCATTTCTTCTACCTGCATTGAATATCGAGCAATAACTATATTACTACCCTTATCATTCCGCAAATTTTTCTACAAAAGAAAACTTGAACTCGAACTGAATGAAATTGCAAATAAAACGCGTTTATAATCGTGAATAGAAGATGAAATTTCTGTATGAACAAATAATCAATCTATCTAAATTAGTTGGTAATTATAAAAAAAAATCTTATGTTTCTCTATTCTACGATACAGGGTATAAGAAATTAAGCAAAGTTTTGTGTAACTATTGAAACAGTTAAGAAGGGTGACATTGAAAGAAAAGGGTAGCGTCAATGGTAAAAATGAAATAGACATAAAAGTGTAACACAAAGGAAATATTATGTTAATGATAAACACTCGACAGTTACGAAGACTGAAGGTATTTAATGAATAGCATCTGTGGCAACAATTTAACAGAACAGGGTAATAGATGAAAGCAATGCGTTGAACAGTCATTCAATAGGAGTAACAATAAAAAGGAGAAGGTTTATGGTAAAAATTAAACAGGTATGAAGGAATAATAGAAAAGAAACATGTTTAATGTCGAACACTAAAGGTACACAAAAGCCATCACCTCTTTTAAAAGTATCAATAAAAGAAGATTAACATTTGTGATAAATATTAAACAGGCATGAAAGAATAACTGAAAGGAAGTATAATGTTCATGATAAACACTGCACAGCTACATTGAGCAAAGGCATATATATACCAGCACCTATAGTAATAGTTATTATTAAACAGATGAAACAGGGTAAAATGTACTAAAAAAATGACATCAGACAAAAACGAGTAGCATATGAAAAAGTAGTAGAAAAAAATAAAATGGCCATGATGAACACTGAACAGTTAGAAAGAGTGAAGGTATATAAAAATGGTATCCTTTGTAAGGAATTGGGTAATTAACGAAAGCAATGTCTTGAGTAGCAATTCAACAGTTAGGAAGAGAGTAATACTGAGAAAAGAATGTTGACTAGAATTGTTTTGTATAAATAAACGGTTAAGATTGTAATAGTGAAAAAGAGAATCACATCTAGAGCTGTTTAAAACAATAGAATAGGGTAATGGGAAAAACAATGTCTAATAATTGAATAGTTAACAAGGATAATAGCGAAAAAAGAGTAGGGCCTATAGTAAAATTTAAATAGGTCGAAAGAGTAATAGAAAATCAGGATAATGTCCATGATAATCTCTGAACAGTTAAGAAAGATAACAAATATATTGGGTAATAGAAAAGAAATATAATGTCCATGAAAATTCACTTTGAAAAACTGATTTGATTTCCATATTAAAACGTGCCCAAAATGGATACCGTGTGTACTTATATGTGGTAAATGCATATGCATAAATAAATAACGTATGTGGACAGGGCTCTTGCCGACGAAAGAATATGTATAACCCTGCTATAAATTAATAGATGATCTGTAAATAGAAGTATTTAATATATAAAATGAAATATTGCAAGTGGAGGTGGGTGGGACTAAAAAATAAAAAACAATAGAAAATTGTAAAGGTAATGTTTATCTTACGGAACATTTGTTAACGTTATGTTAAAATAAACTTAAAATAGACAATGCAACGAAAAATTGGAAAAACAATGTTTATTACATGAATGGTAAAGGAATATCTTCGGTAAAAGCGAAATACGTATGTTATAAAGGATAATGAAAATATAAGCAAGATTTATGGCAAAAATTTAACAAATGTGAGGATTAGGAAAAACAAATGTTATATATTAGTAATTACCTAACACAGTACATAACATTAACATCTTGAAGATCTTACAAGATACGTGTTTTGAATAATTTACCATTTTAAATGCAAACTTCACGAACTTCGTTTAAATTTACACTTGGTATCGTATTTCTTTGCAGATTGTACATCAAACGGAAATGGTAAATAATGGCAAGTCATTTCTTCTAGTTGCGTGCTATATCCAATAATAATGATCAAAATTTTGCTAAATACAATATAGAAATTCATCTCTAACGTTTTAACCTTTTCTTTTTTCTAATAGAATGCTATTAACATTCTACTTTTTCCGATATATTTCTATTTAATTCTACAAATAATACTCTACAAATTGAGGAGACAGTTACTCTTATATGGATTCTAGGATAATTCTAAGGCAATGATCATCAGGCAATAGTTTCAACTTTAACTTCATGAATTAACAAATCTACTTAAATTATTTCGTAACAAAATTCTTTTTTCTTAGCATTTTCGGCCCTAAATATTCGAAATTTTAAATAGAAATATCATAATTGGACGTAGAAATTAATTTTTTTTTCAGCATAAAACAGCAACATGGGATACTTCGCTAAAAAAGGATTTAAAAATATTATACACACCTACAGTTTCTTGTGTTTATGAGTGTACTTTTCAAGTGAAAATATTTTAAAAGAAGAAATTATACTCTCTACAATTAATGCTTATTCGTTTTATTTTGATGACTTAGCTATAGTAGTTATTAGAAATCGTAATCTTTAACCTTTTCTTTTTTTTCTGATATAATACTATTAGCATTCTACATTTTCTGATATTTTGCAATTTACATTCTAACAAATAATATTCTATGGACTCATAATTAAGGAAACGATTAATTCTCGTATGGATTCTACAATAAATCTTAAGCACCGTCCAAATGGAAATACTTTTAACCTTTAGGAAATTACATTGAATAATCGTTTATCATGAACGGTTATAATTAACGAATCTACTTAAATTAATCGGTAATAGATTTTCTTTTAGTGTTTTCGGCCCTAAATATTCAAAATTTTAAATATAAACATCATAAATCGAACATAGAAATTATTTTTTTTTCAGCATAAAACAGCAACATGGGATACTTCGCTAAAAAAGGATTTAAAAATATTATTTACCTACAATTCTTCGTGTTTATGAGTGTACTATGCAAGTGGAGACATTTTTAAGAAGAAATTATATTCTCTACAATTGATGCTTAGTCCTCTTATTTTGATAAGCCAGCTACTTAGTAGATGATTTATGATTTTTGAAGGTTTAAGATGTATCGTAATTTTGTCATGACATATGTGTTTTGATCATTTTAAATGCATATTTCATGAACTTTTTTGAATTTATATTTTATATGATATTCCTTTACAGATTAGATAACGAAAGACAATGGTAAACGATGGTAGACCCATTTCTTCTAGTTGTATGCGATATCCAACAATAACAATGATTAAATTTTGCTAACGTTTTAACCTTCTCTTTTTTCTGATATAAATAATGCTATTAACATTCTATAACTTCTTATATATTACTATTTATATTCTATNAATTAGTTGGTAATAGAATTTTCTCTTAGTGTTTTTGAAATTGTAAATATAAATATCAAAATCGAACGTAGAAATTAATTCTTTTTCAGAAAAAAAAGGATTTAAAAATATTATATACCTTCAGTTTCTCATGTTTGTGTACTTTTCAAGTGAAGCCCTTTTAAAAGAAGAAAGTGTACTCTTACGCTTATTGCTTTAATTTTTATGAGCTAGCTAATTAGTAGAAATTAAAAATTGAATTGAATAGCGGATTGATAAGCGAGATTAGTGGCATTTAAATTTCTAAAGGTTGTTATACCTAAAAAGTTTTAGAAATATGCATGCAGTTTAGAAAAGTTCAGAATGATAAGTGTATGAAATATGACTTACGATTAGTCTTCTACTTCTACTTCTAATTAGGAAATGGATTTGGTGTATTGCAAAATAAAATTATTATTAATTTGTAAATTAAAATAATTCGTCTATTATTTTTTATTTCTTTTTTTATGTTCCTTTATGAGAAATTACTCAAAAATTTAACGTAATATTGCATTTTCATAGTAATTTTTAAAAGGAAATGAGTGAATAATATCAAGTACATCTTGGAAAAATAATGGTCTGAACTCCTGATCAACAAAACATTAAGAAGTAAGTAAATTTAAATGCATATAATTTAAATAACGTTAGGCGAATACTTGGTCGATCTTCAGTCGTATTAAATTATTAATAAAATCTTTAATATCGATCAGGTGACGATCGAATCGGTTAAGTATTTGAAAAATTAAAAATCCTCACTGTGTTAGCGTAAAATAATTCATGCAATAAATAAATGCATATAAATTGCAACAACTAAAGGACTTAGGCATAAATCTTGCGAATAATACTGCTCTATTTTTACTCCTTAGAAATCCTCACAGGGGCAAAGAATAATAAAAAAGCGTGTCTATAAACTGAAAAATGTAGGTATTGCATAAAGCGGTTGAATAAAGAAAACCAATGTTATATAGATTAATTGATTGATTGATGTATTACCGATGAGCATTTATTAGACAAAACTGATTGACATTTTATACATCTATCAAATCTCTTCGTGCTTAAACATTTTCGAAATCGAGTTACAAATAAAAACGAATAAATGGAAGTGGTGGTAGGAGGGCCTACAAAAAAAAAACAAATTTATAGTGCTATTTTATCTATTACTAGATGTACTATAATTGTAAAAATTGAATAGATAAAATAGGGTAATAATCGAAGGTAACACAGTACCGTTTATAATAAATGCGTAAGCACATATGAAAGAATATACGAAAGGAAATATTAAAGGTCCACGATAGTATCGAAAAGTTATAATGAGTAAGAACATATGAATATATAACATGTACGGTTTAAAACAAAACCAACCAATCAGGGTAATAGAAAAAAGACAATGTCTTGATTTATTATTAGCAATAATAACTAACAGTTAGGAAGGACAATACAGGGTAGGGATATGGAAAAAGCAATGTCTTGAATAAAGTCAATAGTTGAGAAGGTTTACAGTCTTGAGTAATTGATAAATACTTAAGAAGGATAATGGTAAAATAAGAAGGATAACAGCGAAATAAGAATATGTCTACGATGGAAATTGAATAGATAGATCAGGGTGATATAAAAGAAGCAATATTTTTGCAATAAATCAAATGTTAAGAAGGTAAACAGTAAATGAAAGGAATACTGTCTACGGTAAAAGTTAAACAAATAGAACAAAGTAATAGATAAAACCAATGTCTTGGGCTACCAATAGTTAAGAAGGTTAATGTTGAAAATAGAATCGTATCTAAGGTATAATTAAATAAACAACAAAATAGCAATGCGTTAGGTAATTAATCTACAGTTAAGAAGGTAATAGTACAAAAATAGTAGTCTACGATAAAAATTAAACAAATAGAATACGGTAAGGGGTCCTCCATAAAATACGTCACTCGTCAAAGGTGAAAACCTTTTTGGACCCCTCCCTTCTCCTTCGTCAGCCTAGTTACACTTTTAGTGATCCCGCTAACAAATATTACGTCACGAAAGCTAGTCCAGTCCTAACTTTCTATCGTAATGAAAAATTTTAAGAACTGCCGAGTTAAGAAGAACATTAAATAAAATTGATGAACTACAAATGTCACCTTTTCTTAGACCATCCCACTCTCTTTATTATTTCTTGTCACGATAAGCAATACACCTCCCTCTCCCTTATTTGCGAACGTATTTTATGAACGACCTCTAACCGATAAAAGTAATGTCTTGGGTAAAATCAGTAATAAAGAAGGGTGATAGTGAAAAAAAGATTAGCATCTAAGCTAAAATTAGATAAATAGTAGAGAAAAACAATGCTTTGGGTAATAAATTTAAAGTTAAGAAGGATAATGGTCAAAAAATAATAGTGTACGCTAAAAATTAAACAAATAGACCAGGGTATACCAAGAGATACAAGCAATAGCTTGGGTAATCAATAGGTAGGAAGGGTAAAAGTGAACACAGAATTGCATCTAATAAATAGAAGGGAAAGGCAATGCCTTCGGTAATAAATGTACAGTTAAGAGGGATTATAGTGAAAAAATATTAGTTTCCACTGTAGAAATGAAACAAGTAGGTCAGGGTAATACATAAAATGCAATATCTTCATAATAAATTTTAATTTAAGATGTTAAACAATTAATAAATAATAGTATCTACGATAAAAATTAGACAAATAGAACAGGGTAATATATAAAAACAATGTCTTCGGCAATCAATAGTTAAAAAGGGTAATAATGAAAACAGAATAGCATATAAGGTAAAATTAAATAAATAGAACAAAAAAACAGTGCGTTGGGTAATAAATCTACAGTTAACAAGGTAATAATGAAGAAATAATAGTGTTTACGGAAGAAATTGAGCAAGTAGGTCAGGGTAATATAAAAAAAGCAACATATTCGTTATAAATCAACAACAACAGTTAACAAGGTAAACAATGAATGAATAATAGTGTGTACGGTAAAAATCAAACAAATAGAACAGGGTTACATTTAGAAAAAAGCAATGTCTTGGGTAATCAATAAGAAAGAAAACCAAAGAGTTGAAAGGTTGTGGTAAAAACTGAACAATAAATAAATGAAAGTGGTGGTGGGAGGGCCAACAAACAAAAATACAAAATTTGCAGTGTTATTCTACATATCTTGTTAACATACGAAAGGACTCCGTAGTTTAGCATTTAGTGAAAACAGAATTGCATCTAAGAGTAATTAATGTTAATTGCAAAAGTAAGAAAGAGTAACGTTTATAACAAAAATTAAATAGGTATGAAAGAGTCATCGACAAAAATTTGTTAATAATAAATACTGAATAGTTACAATGAGTAAAATATATGGATAATAACATCTATGGTGAACAAAACAAAGTAAAGTCGAAACTCAACAGTTAAGACGGGTAATACTGAAAAAAGAGTAGTGTCTACAAATTAGACAAGTAGGTAGGGTTTATTGTTAGAAAAAAGCAATGATTCGGATAAATCAATGGTCAAGAAGGTAAATAATGAAAAAACTAGTACGGTAAACGTTAAACAAATAAACGGGGTTAAACTTAAAAAAAAAAAACAATGCTTTATAGATAATCAATGAGAAGGAAAATCGAAGGTTGACGGTAAAAAATGATCGATAAATAAATGAAATAAAAACGAACTTAAAATAAACGGTAGTGGTGGTGGGAGGGCCTACAAAAAAAAAAACAAAATTTGCAGTGATATTCTACATATCTTATTTAATTATTCATACTAAAAACTCCGTAGTTTAAGATTTAGTGAAAACAGAATTGCATCTAAGAGTAACTAATGTTAAAGAGTAGTTAATTTTATTTTATAGCAAAAATTAAAGAGGTATGAAAGAGTAATCGACAAATTCATGATAAACTGTTATGACGAGCAAAATATATGAATAATAACATCCATGATAATAAAAAAAAGCAAAGTCCCTAGTCAAATCTTAACAGTTAAGAAGAGTAAAAGTGAAGAAAAAGGGTAATGTCTACAAATTAGACAAATAGGCTGGGTTTATCGTCCAAAAAAAAAAAAGGAATGAGTTGGATAAAATCAATGTTTAATAAGGTAAATAGTGAAAACAAAATGTAGTGTCTTCGATAAAAATTA